CAGTAGAAAACTGCGTTTGGATCGCAACTGCCTTCTATTGTGACCGACTTTTTCACAGTTCTTGGGATCCTAAACTAGACGTCATGGTCAACTGAAAAGTGTCAACCCTGTATAGCCCTTTCGTATCGTGGCTGATTTATAATGACCACCTGCACATTTCTGTCAACCACACCCAGTGTCGGTAAATAATCACAAGGTGGAAATCACCAATATGAAATTTTTACAGCATAGATGGCGACTGCATCTCCTTACGATGCTCCACTGCCATGTGGATCAGATTTTTAGGTCGAAGGCTCGGGGTGTGGCCACCTAAAAAAACCACCTGCTTCGGTTTGGGCATCCGAGCAGTATCACAGCCCTCACACATATCGAATGAAATTTGTGTAGCGTATATGTATATGATGCCTCCTTGTACCAATATCTGTGTTTAAAAAATTATCTCTATATCGCCTGACCACTGGTCTAGCGAATCCGACTCATTTTAATCTCATGAATTTAAATGATCACTTGTCTCATGTCTACATAATAATTAGTCTATATACACAAAATAGCTAAAACAATACTTTCCAGCCGTTTTTCATGTCACACGTTGTAAATTACTTTCTAAAGTTATCTGCAAGATATTCGTTTTCGCTGTTCGATATACTTTACGTGACGTTCTTACTAAACTATTTCCTCCTAAAGTTGGTGTAAAAGCTAACGTGCTTAGGCTACCCAAGTTTTCTGTATTTTACACACTAATTTGACTTCATTTTAGCATTTCGAATTTTATTTTCTGCTGCAGAATCCAATAACTCAAATTTGTCAGATGAAGATAAAACTGAAGTTGACTTGCGTTCCGTATATGTTGGAAATGTAAGTCAGTATGGTATCCCAATTAACAGTTAGGTTGATTATGGTTCTACGGCCGATGAACTAGAAGCACATTTTCGTGGTTGCGGGCCGATAAACCGTGTTACTATATTATGCAATAAATTTACTGGACACCCTAAAGGATTCGCATATATTGAATTCGATACTCGTGATGCTGTTGAAGCTGCAATCGCTCTGGATGACTCATCTTTTCGAAGTCGACAGTTGAAAGTCCTACCTAAACGTACAAATGTTCCAGGAATGTCTATGACAAATCGTCCCCCTTTCGTGAGAGGTCGCGCGCGCGGCAGAGGGATGTCTATTGGTTTCCGTCCAGCATATGCTGGCCGAATGCGATTTCCACGATATCGGTAAGTATCGCAAGCACTAGTAAAATTCATCATTATTTTCTTGAGAGTCTAAGGCTTATCTTCTCTTCCATGCTTTCAGGCGACGTGGTAGTTATTACTTTACCCCCTATTAAATTGGACCAATGAAAAAGTTAAGGAAAAAGAAATCGATCACAGAAGAAACTTCCGCAACATGTCCTTGTATTCTACTTCGTTATCCAACCATTTTGCAGAACTAATAGCTTTGTTGTCCAAATTTTAGGTATTTCGTACCATTGTATGATGCCGCATTCATTTTGTTCTGCAATCTAATAAGACTACAACATACCTGTTGAAAAATTAACATTCAAACATCCATTGTAAATTGGTGCTAATTTGATTTTTGTACCATCTGGCTTGTTTATCAATGTGTATGTCCGAAAAACTCAATTATGTGTTTTCACCTATGGTCAAATGCAGGTCAACGTTGTTACTTCGTAAGGTCATGTCTGAGGTTACTAATTACACCCTAGGCTAATGTACTTGTCTCTCATACCTCCAATAATCTTGATACTGAGCTCTTTCAGAAACTAGGTGAATTAAAATTAACCACAATAACCCATTTCATTTGTTTAAAAATGAAATCCATATCATGGATAGAGACAACTTAGTGAAGGGCAAGCATTACCATATTACACTAAATTTAACAAGATAAATAGCGAAAGTGTTCGACAAATATCAAACTCTGGTAAAAGGAGTAACTACAATTTCTTTAGAATTTGCAGAAGGTATTTTGAAACCTTCAGGAAAATATAAATTATTTTAATTCCAAAAAAGTAAATCAGGATATCGCTTTAGATATCATTTGACAATAAGATGTTTCGTCACAACTTCATATTATGTCAACAGTAGTACAAAATAATCACCACTCATTTTTATTGGTACTAGCATACTTGACATTCCTCATTTGAAAATGTAATTTGTCTCTGAACTTCTATCCAACCTCAGCGAGATACTTATCAAGTCCTAGTTGATGCCTTCGTAGCTTATAAAAGCAGATACCGACTATACTCACGTAATGTATATTGACAAATCGTCTGAATACATTAATTAAAGGTCAAATGTATCCTGTATCCGTTTTAAAGTTAGTTCTGTGTAATGAAATTATGACAATAAGATTTCATTGTGGTTACTGAGTGCATAATAGTTATGCCTGGCGGCCTCTTCATAATATTTTACCATCATTGCAAATAAAAAAGCTGCTTAATGTTGTAAAGCACTGTAAGTGATCCACATTCATTCAAGCATTTACTCCCTTTCCATAAAAAACTTCATTACTCACCGAGTGGACATTTCAGGTAAAAGAACTTTAAAAATACGAAAGGATATGATATATATATTCAGTATCTGAGTCAAATTATGCGAGCAAGTATGCCTATGTTTCGAATAATCGGTCTTGAGCGGGATTCTAGATAATGCTCCATCAGTGACCAAAGTCTGCTGATGCGATACCGGATTATCAACATATCAAGCCGTTTTCTATTTATCCGACGTATTTGTAGAATAAAACCTAAGCCATACGATCCGGTTAAGATACATTATATCGTTGCTAATTGAATCATAGGCGGCTAGAAACCTGGATGGTCAAAATTAAAGACAATAATTTCTGGCTATGTAAATAAGGGTAGCTAGATGTTCATGTTATTTTGTAACACGCAACGATGTGAGGTCAATAAACTGACCATAATAGTGTAACTAAATAATATACTCAGCCTAGCAATCAGGAAAATATAATAACCTAGAGCGACTAGTAAAAAAAGATGGTATACCAATCACAGATTGAACGGCAACGGATACATGCGTGTAGAACACTTTGAAAAGCTCTTGAGTAGAAAAGCCCCACTGAACCCAAACAACTTTGAGGCAACACACAGACCTTCCCATAGATGTTACCACACCAACAATCAAATAAGTATGCATTTCCAAAAACATTCAATAGTGATAAGGCAGCAGGACCAGACAGCATACCAACATAAGCACTAAAGTCAGACATGGAAGTAATTGCAATGATGCTTCACATTCTCTTCAAAAAGATTTGATAGGAAGAGGAAGTACTAACATAATGAAAAGAAGGACATCTCATCGAGATACCTAAGAAAAGAGATCTCAGCAATTGTGAGAGCTACAGAGGCATCGCACTACTATTAGTACGAGTAAAGCTTTTCAATAGTGTTGTTGAACCGAATGAAAGATTTAGTAGACGCCCAACTTCGAAATGAAGAGGCAGGGTTTTGTAAGGATCGGCCGTGTGCAGACCGAACCGCCACACTACGCATGATTGTTGAGCAGTCAGTTGAATGGAACTGGTCACCATACATCAGCTTCCTTGACTACGAGGAAGCATTTGACAGCATAGATATGAGGACCCAGTAGAACCGTCCTCGATACTATGGAGCACCTAGGAAGCATGTCATTATCATACGGAATTCTTACGACATGCTACACTGCAAAGTCGTGCATGTTGGCCAGCTCACAAATGTCTTCCAGGCGAGCACTATTGTCAGACGAGTCTGCTTACTTCCGTCCTTTCTCTTTCTTTTGATGGCCGACTGGATCATGAAGACCTGTACATCTCAGGGGAAGCACGAAATGCAGTGCATAGCATGGATGCAGCTAGACAATTTGAACTTTGCGAGTGACCCTATCCCTCCCATGCTGTACACAGTAACAAATGCTGGTAAAGTTAGCCAGAGTAGCAGCAGCGTCTGCAACAGTAGGCCTCAATATACGCAACGGAGAAAGCAATATCCCGAAATGCAACACAACGAGCATCAACCAAATCACGCTTGAATGAAAAGCTCTGGAAGAGATGGAAACATAGTCGGTTGGACGTGAGTGGGGCCTATGTTGTACCAGGGGTAACAGGCTTAAGTAAATGTGTGTGGGTCTACCACTCACTCTCTTAGTCAAATATATTTAGTCGGTTTTTCTGTCTGACTATAAATATTGAGTCACGCCTCATTAAATTGATGTGCCACGTTTGCCTTCTTCGATCAGTTTCTCTCTTATCTGTCTATCTGCGTTTACAGATGAATGAGACATATGTATCGAAAACTCAATCTCGTATTTGGCCTACTTTATTTCGTCATGCACTGACGCAAATATGTACGAGGCCAAGCGGGATGTGTATTTTATTAACGTCATCATTCAATAATAATCGAGTCAGACAACAAGCCTATAGGATTAAGTCGATAGACTGAACAGAAAAAGGGGTGGAAATGGTATACATTGCAGTGAGAAATTAGATACCGGAGTGATTGTTGAAAAGAATCTAATGGGGTCGAGGAATGACAAGTATGAATAGCTTGGATATTCTTACCATTGTTATAATGACAGGTATTCGAGAAAGCATGATAACTACAGCGAATTTGATTTATGGGTTTTAAAATTCTTCAACAGTGACGGGGAGTTTCTCGTGTAGCTTACATGTTCAGTATTATGAGTCAGAAATATACCGTAGGATTTTCAGAGTAAAATATATTACAGGCTGATATTTACACAATTCGTTCATTTTCTTCACGGAACAGAGTCCTATTTTCCACGCCAAGTGCGGTGTTTAATAAGTTTCTAATTACGTTTGATGTCTGTTCAAAAGTCTTCATATGTTCTACGAGGGTTAACAGTCGCAAGTATGTAATCTTGAACCTCAAAATCCATGAAGCTTAATCAAGTGTTTCAGTTGGGTTAGTTTTTAATACACTTAGATATCACTTTATTTGCACCCAGACAACAATAAACACTGGAAAAAGAATTTACGAGAAAGGATAGGATAGGCTTTTTATTTATTTATCTAGGTTGTATGATGAATAACGTACTAATTGACTGTTAAGTGTAACTACAATGAGGAAAACCTTGTAAAAGTTTAAAATATAAAGGCAAAATTAAACAGACTGTCATTCAAATTATGATAAAGATTCCAAAATAAAGATAACATTTTATAGGTAAGGGATTGCTGAACTAGTGTTAAAATAAACGTATTAAGATAACTAACGTGGTTCTAAAATTTGAAGGACCTCATTTGTTCTGTGTGAAAATAAGTTCGTACAGAGCTTCTAAAATACAACCCACACTCCACGCTTGAGCTTCACAACTATCTTTACAAAGCTGAAAATCGAAAAATAATTTTTAATTTATCTACTGAGTACTAGTCTATAAAAGTTGGAAAATATTTCATGCTATTTTATGTGGAAATAATTTGTTATTGGTCGTTTTCAGAATTTACGCTAAGTTCGCGCTATTCCACGAAATTGTCACAGTAATCCTTTTTAAAGTTTCACATATATTTAGTGTATTACTAATATTCCTGATCCTACGTTATAATAGTTAGTGTAAACTATTAAAATAACCGGGATGTACGTAAATTATCAATGTCATCACATTCTTTACAGTTATAGTCCATGGAACACTCTAAAGAACTGTGCGCCGTAACTTGCGAAAACTATAGTTGATTTTATCACCGTGTTAATTATATAAACAAAGTCTTTTATTAAATAAATTAATGTGTTTGTAATATCCCAATGAGTAGAAAAATTAGATTTTCTGACGTTTCGTGACTCAGTGTAAGCCACTTCTTCAGAGGATAAATAACCAAATATATTAATTTGTTTATAACAATCTACCCAATGCTCAATTTATTCGAAATTATCAAATCAAAGCTTCGTAATGATACCTAAAAAGTCTTTTACTGTCACATCATCAAAAGATGGAATGAAGTGTAGAAAGTGCTGGTATCGTTTGAAAAATGCTTATGGCCTCAATAATTCTTTTTGTTACTGAGTTATATTTGCCAGGTATCAGAAACACTTCAAGTCGATGACTGATATAAAAGAATTGTGGAATAAAAAACGTTGCCAATCATTCTTGCTTTGATAACAGTTCTCAAAATTTATTAGGAAAAATCCCTCCATTTAGATTAATGATCACTTTCCTGAAAAGTTGAAACAAAATCGAACCCTATGGATTAGTAAACATACACTGCGAAATTAAACCACATATACTTTGAGTTTCGTGCATTCTACAGTATCACAATATATAGTGAAGTATCATATCTTCCCAGTATACTACGATGCTACATCACCTTACTAATAATCAGGAGAAATCGGCACTAGTTTATAACATTACCATTCTCGCAAACAAAATGCAACACAATATATAACAACCATGAGGTTCATGAACTGAACTGAGATCTACTGCGACTACTACTAATACTGCCTCAGTATTCATTAGAATAGTTTAATCTAGTTGTGCTGATGTGGTTGGCAAATTGTCATTTACGTCCAAGGTTTCACGTTGCTAACGACTTACTAGTTAACACAACTATGGTCAGACATAGAGGTCGATCTATTTCTTTGCTACGTAACTATGAGGAATCGAACCTAATACAGTGAAAAATATACATATGTTGCTCACATATAAATAGGGATTTCAAAAACCTTACCTGACCATTTGCATTTGTCAATTCCGGAAGAGAACACCACTGACTTGATTCCATTCTCTGATTCAGTCTGGCAAATGTTTTCTGGCACTCTGCAGTTACGTTGCGAGTGAGATGACCCCATTGTTTAGGATCGAATTTGCCTAGCATGCGAGCGAATTTAAGACGAGCGCGTAAATAATACCCAGTTGGCCACAACCATTCTGGGCCCTAAATCCAAAATAGTAAGTAATAAGTATTTTAAGGATGCATTATCACACAATCGGCATAAAAATTAAAGCCAAATGACATAAAACCTGAGTGAAGTTTATAGTTAACTGGCTGTTAGATTTGACCAGTACGGAGTAAGATCCAGACTATAAGGGAACAGTATTCACTCATTACTAGGTAGTATAACCATTTACGTAATTTCGAGAAAACCAGTATGACACCGGATACGCCAGTTGGTCGATAAATGTAGCAACTGGAAAAGGATTGAAATGTTTATCGTGCACTGAACTGTGCCTTAACCTTCTTGATTGTAGTGGAGAGATTAATGAGAATAAAATGAAATTGTTTCGACATTAGAGCTACTGAGATATAACTACCGGTTATTCACCTGACACTTAACAATATGGTTTGTGAATTATCTTGATTTTGTGTATTTGAATTGCAGTGAACTATTCAGATTTTATTTCTCTGTAATGACGAATTGTTTTACTCGTACCGTTACTTTAATATGAAGATCGTACCGCAGCACCGGGAATAAAATGGAATCTTTTGGTATACATGTATAATAGAAATAGCTGTGAATGTGCGTATACTATGGCGGTAATAATTAATTTTTCAATGCACGTGCACATATAAGCTACAGTAAATCGATAGAATATAACATTATTCGTAAAGTTACCAACTTCCTGACATGAAAGTTCATAGCTGTTTAACATACAAAGAATAATGTCATTATTCGATCCACGCAGTCAATGTTACTGTCATACTTGAAGAAACCAGAAGATCAACACTTTCAATGAAGTACATTAGTATGAATTGTGTATTATGTGTGCATGACATAACTAAGGAACGATTAATGAGAATATTGAAATCAAGGTAATGATATCCTCTAAAAGAAAAAGAAAACTAACGAAAAACAAAAAAATCTGATGATCCATTTATAACCTAGTAATAACAGTTGTGGCTTCACGATTGACAAAGATAAAAAAATCCTTTGCAATGCGATTATGACTAAAAAAGGTGTGAAATGATAGACATTTCATCAGGTGGTAATTCAGCATATAAAGAAATGAAGTAAAGACTTACTTGATGATAATTAAAACCACGAGCTATAGAAAAGTCACAGCTATCATTTGAGTTATCATAATATCCTCGATAAGCTAAATCATCTCGACTCAAAGTGCACATACCAAATGGACCAGCTAATCGTTGTTGAGCTATTTCCAATGCATTCCATGCCCGTTCGGGTGTAAATAATTCAGGGGCCTATTAGAATAATTTCGTTTAGAAATAAGTTTACTCAAGAAAATAAGATGAAACAGCAGGAATCAATGAATTTCGCTAACAGTATGGAGGCGTGGATATTGGTGAGTCTAGCTGAAATCATGAGCCGAAAAATGTTTGACCACCATAGTAAACCTGGAGGCGCTGGAATGCCTTTCCATCCTAGCATAAGACTCCGCGTGCAGGTATCGAACCCAGAATTTTAGGTCTCGCGGGTGTGAAAGAGTTGTCCACCGGAGACGATGGAAGATGGTCGTGCAATATCGTGGGTTGGTTGAAGCTAGACATTAGCACCGTATGATGCCGTCTCTGCGGTCTAGCTGTTAAGCGTTCGCGCGTGAAACCGAAGGTCGTGGGTTCAATTACCACGTGCCGGGTAGTGGATCCACACTGCTGAGTAGTCCATATTAGGATGGAGCGGCCTTCCAGGTTTTCAACAGTGGTCTAACAGTGATCGGTTCATAATTTCAATTAAATTTCATCAATTTGAAATAAAATTCTTCAATAGACTGAGAAAGAACGAAAAGTACAGTTGGTTAAAACTACAGGCGTTTAGTTATTGGTACATTTACAATAAATGGATCTGTCACCCAGCTACATCATCACACTGACGCGACCAGGTGTTATTACAAAGCAAATTGTAATCAACAAAAAGGGGAAATAATGGCAACAGGCACACAAAGACAAATGAAATTATAAAATGATTTGTGAACTTGTATTGTAAAAGTATTGAAGTAATGAATATTTATTTAGTCACAAAACATCTGGAACAGTCTTTTTAGTTACGAACATGCACATCAGTATGTTATTTAAATCGATGACGAACAACGACGCGCGTCCTGGATTTCACTGCTAGTCGCCATCCATTTCTGCTTATATTGCCTGTGACTTAAGATGATATCAAGACAATCCGCAAAGGATGTACATTTGCCAATAAGAGACTGACCAATTGCAGTCATAAAAGTCAATGCAAAGATTCAAACAACCAAAGCAGTATTAATTAAGCTTCTTAAAGAGTTTTATTTGTTCTTTTCAAACCCTTACTAAGAGAGAAGTTATCTCATAAAGCAAGTGATACATCTTTTTTTAGCTAGTACTGCTTAATACAGTCCAAGAAAAATATCCTAATGATAACAAAGCCTTACACGATCATCATTACAAATCTATCACAACGCAGTCTTTATGCTACAAAAACTAATACTTTTGTCATACCACTGTCCAGCTGACCTTCGTGTTACAGTAATAATTACAAAAAGGGTATCTCGGTAACTGATTTGTTGCTAAATGCAAGCTAAATCACGATTTTAGCGCGACAAATATTAGCGTGAACATACATTCATGAACAAGCAGCTACTTGCAACTTCTATTAATAGCATAATAGGGGCTTGACTAAACATGTTTCTGAAATCACGATGGCTAGCGTTTATTAGTTTACCCTCAACTAATCAGTTGGATGAGCTGAGAAGACATGAGATTACCTATGTAGAGTTTAAGCGTCCACTGATATTTCCATACTATACTGATTTAACTTGTCGTTTGCTATGTAGTATATCTACGTTTCTATCAAAGTCGTGTTTTGATTTGAGAACCAGTCAAGTGAAGTGTTCAAGAATACTACACTGATAAGTTCTTAATATAAGTTAATATGCTTTACAATTGATCCCCGAATCATAGGGTTAACAGCGGTTGCATTTACCAAGCTGAATTTAACGACAGAATGTTAGTGAAATAAAGGAATGATAATAAGGGTCACAATTAATATTATTTGGTTAACCGTTCACATAAGCACGACACCTAAATATGTATAGAAAAACTACTTTTTAAGAAAAAAATATTGATAAGGTCATTACGTATAATAGTAGTAAGAGATATTCTTCGTTTATCAAGATCTATTCAATTACACCCATAATATTATGTAGTGTTAAGCTGAGTTAATCAAGTATAATATTAGTAAAAATGCATAGTTTAAAACTTACTACAACCATAGTTATAAGGAAATTGGGGCGTAGCTGATTATCTGTGTATCCTCCAGACGAACCAAAAGAATCTCTATAAATTCCTTTATTATAAAGCAAGTTAGGGTCCTTTGTGCTTTCCGGAATCCAAAAGTGCGATTCAAAGGAATTTTTCAACAGATTTGACCATTCTTCCCATGAAAGTTCCTTACCAGATGTCAGTTGAACACCTGCATGCGGATAATAGCCAGAGTAATTTGGACCTTGATTATGGGATTCTGCTAACCACGATACAACTGCATACGCCAAACCAACTAATTCGACTGCGGAACCATCACGAGGAGTAGCAGGTATACCCTGGTTACCAGCTTTTGATGAACTGCCCATTTTGTCCATCCATGTGCCACAGTTAAAAGCGTTGCCACCACGAGGAAATCCTGTATTTAAATCAATATTGGCCTGAACCTATAATGAAATGATAAAAACTAATGTATCAAGATTCTTAAATTTTCAGTGAATATATTTTATGTTGCTCTATTTTATAGAATACATTTAATCCATAAACATTGCCGTATTCAGGGTACGTAACCCGACCACTCGTTCGTACTATACTGAGTGGATTTAAATTTAATAGTGTGGGTAAATAATATAAAAATTCAATTCCTAATATCGCCTATTCATAAATTAATTCATGAATGATTAAATCGTTGCCTTCAATAGCATATAAAACAAAAGTGATATTTGGATGCTATATATGCCACAATCGATAACTAACCTTAAATCCTTCCGGTTTCATGTGTTCATCTAAAGTTGGCCCAGCGTTCCTTTCGATAAACTCAATACCATTAATATGTCGTTGCAAAGCTTCTTGCATTGTTTCATGCAAGGGTTGTATACGTTGACTAGATAATGAATTGGTCAAATATTCATCCGGCCAACCAACTGTATCATCATCTGGAAACCATCTATAAACTGGACAATTTAAAATACTAGGAGAATCATCTCCTTCCAGACAGCATTCTTTAGTACTTGAAATAAATTGTTCGTAAATAACGATAGAATATAACCAGTACCAAACAGCGTCACGACAATTGTATCTTGGCTTAACAGTGTAACCATCTCCTATAAGATTTGGTATTAGTCCATGTCTTAATAAACTAGCATAACTGAGAATAATGTTAGCAGCATCCTGTTTAATGAAGAGAAAAGAAAATAATGTGAACAGAGGGACAAAGAAGCCATGAAAAACGATGAAAGCCGTTTTTTGAAAAAATATTCCACTTAATTCAAAGTTTGTAGAATACTAACATTTAGTTTGGTCCCTAGGTTATCCTATAAAGCATAAGCTTTCGCTTGACGCACAATTCACAGTTATTCCCAGTTCCATGCCAAAGTTACTGCAATTTAAACGTAATCTTTGGTACTCAATTTTTCAACTCTAATGCCCAATTTGAACATAATTGTATTTTTCTAATTTTTTGTACGTTGTGGTCATTTTAGTCATCTATGTACTCGTATATCTTTTTACACTAACCTGAATCGGGATTGGGAATAAATCGAGTGGTGTTCCAGTTGACTCATCTCTCTTGTCAATTAATCAAGTGATGGAATAGTTTCCATCTCTCTGTACAAGGCAATTAGTCTTGATTCGAACTCACGCATTTCTAGCCTCAGCGGTTAACCAGTTAGCCTATAGTTCAAGGACTTAATCTAGATTGATACAAGTTATCTTGTGTGTATTATTGGGTAGACAGATCAAGGACGTAATAGAAAGTTTGCACAAAAGCTTTTTCAATGAATAAACTGTTATAATATATAATAGTTGAATCTCAATAGGGTTACAATTAGATTGAAGTTTAACTCGAAAGGAACAGGAAAAATAAACTTAAGTGATGATAAAGTTTGGTTGTTAATCATTTGAACAGTTGAGTCGAGTTTTCATACAAAGCTGGAGGACTAGTGTTTGTTTCATCCCTGCATTGTTGCTGTTATTATGATTATTACAACTTTAACCTTAATTTGAATTAACTGAGTCAACATACATCTCTTTTCATACATATAGTTCCCTATATCATTTTGAAAAGAGCAAGAACAAACATTATAGCAGAATAGCATGAATTCATTTTTATTTCGTTGGTTCTCGTCAGCTGCTTACAACCTGTGATATTTAAAATCATAATTACATAATGGGTTTAAATTACTTTCATGAAAGAGTTTGATCGGATGTTATATTGAAAACATATTCGTATAGTATAGCAAGGGTGTAAATAAATTTAATAGACTGAATATTGTAAATATATACCTTATGTAAAAGAACATTGTGACAACAGTTCAAACGGCTAGAAACATGTAAACATTGATAGGAATAAAATGAGTAGAGTTCAGTTGATAAAATAAGATTATTAATTTGGAAGATACAGGTATCATTACGAAGATTTGATTTGATAATTTCGAATAAATTGAGCATTGGGTTGATTGTTATAAATAAATTAATATATTTGTAATATTAATTAAAATTAATTTTAATTTGGTTATTTATTCTCTGAAGAAGTGACTTACACTAAGCCACAAAACAGCCGAAAATCTAATTTTTCTACTCACTGGGATATTACAAATATACTACTTATAATTTAGAGGATAGTTGAAATAAAACTCAGTGACGTAATAAATGCAAGAAAGAGTTTAAAGAAAAAGAAAAAAATTAAGATACAGCGAAGGAATATTAGTCATCAAGGCAAGGAAATATTAATAACCATTTTGAACACATAAATCAGGTTTTTGGCGTATGATAACAACGGCTTCAACAAACATCTGGAGTTTGTAGGGTATCGACCTGATGTCCTGTATCAAGGAGATTTTTGGTGATTGCACTGTTCAGAGTCTTTCTGTCTCTTGTTCTGAGGGTTTTTGGAACATGTTCAAGAAATCTAAGATATGCCCTCCTTTCTGTTCGGCCAATATAGCTGCTTTGGCAGGTACACGTAAATTTATAAATACAATTGGCGGTAACATGAAAAGGATGCCTATCAACCTTTGATTGAGTTATTCAAATGTTGTTTTATGCAGAATTAGAAGTTTGGCCGCCGGATAAGTTCTGGCTGGCGCAGTATTCAGTCTACTGTTGACTGTGATTACAACATATTCACCTTTGAAGTTAAGATTTATAGTTATTGGTTTTTTATTGACCGTAATTACTTCAGTATTGTTTTCTTTACGCTTTTTATATTTGTCAATAAACTTTTGTGGGTAAAAGTTGTCTCATAGGCATTTTTCCACGTTCATCAATTCTTCTTCCAGTTTGTCAGTAGTACATATCCTTTTTGCCCTATAAAATAGTGTTTTAACTAATGCCTTGTAATTCAGTGGACAAAAACTATTGAAATTCAGGTAAAGGCTATTCCAAGTACTTTTTCGATAAACCGAACGTTGGACTGTCCCGTCTCTCCTACGTTTTATAGCAACATCAAGAAAGTGGAACATGTCATTCTGTTCGTGTTCCATAGTAAATTGTATGTTAGGATGAGCATTATTGAAGAGTTCTAGCAGGCGGATTGCATGCTGTTTATTGTTGCAGACAGTAAACGTGTCATCAACATATCTGGAATATTCCTTCGTTTCGCTAATCGCCTGTTTAAGCACCATGTTTTCAAGATACCCGATAAAAATATCTGCCAGAATTGGACCTAGTGGACTTCCAATTGCTACGCCGTCGATTTGACGATATATGGTGTTATTATACTGGAATTGAACGTCTGTTGTGCACATTAATATTAGTAGTTAATCGATGTACATAAGAAGGAGAAGAATCTGACTGAGCAACCTAAGTAAAGTTCAATTTATTCGGGTGTTGACAATCCAGATAAAGAATAGAAACATCTGGATCATGTCATCATAAGATTCCAACTGATAAATATCTAGTTTTTTTAAAAACCTAAGTCATAAGGCATATAACTCTTAGAATGACACTGAGTGCCTCTATAAACTGTTACGAGCTTTTATAAATTATTTTGTTGGAATTAGCAAAATCACTTGTGTAAAATGGAATGTCGTTAACACATATACATATACATATACATAGGCATCTAGTAAATTCGTAACATTCTTCAGTCCTATATAAAGCGAGAATCACCAAAAGAAAGATATTAAACTAAACAAGATAAATTTGAGTAGATAGATAACAAATGTGTATAACAAAAAAAATTGTTGAACGTATAAGTTAGAAGTGAATTTATTTGCACTTCTCCATTTGATTTTGGGTAATACCAACGCTATCTGTGAAGATCAGTTCATGTTGTATTGTGGACCTGAATTAAGAAGCGTTCTGAGTATAAACTTACAGTCAGTGACATCATCGTCTGATGCTAAGTCTTACTAAGGTAACCGCGTAATTATATCAAGCGAAAATTGGTAGCTGCTATACTAGCTTAGCAGATGAACCAGCCACATGTATCTACCGAAGTTCGAAATCACGTCAATTGTTTTTAATTCGTCACCTACAACTTTAAACTAAGTTAAAACTATCATGTGCGACCAAGATTTTTTAACGAAAAATATGGATAACGTGCAAGCGAACAATGTGTTCTAGCATTTAAGGTACAAGTTACTTGGGCACGCAAAAATATATGTTCCTTTGGTGGTCTTGAAATGTAGGATTGTGACTACGGAAACACAACAGGAGTGAGAGACTCTGAATTTTAATTATAAGAATTCAGTAATGTCAATTTTAAAAATATTCAAGATTTTAACTTCGTATAGGTGACGAACTACTACATTTTTGGCTTACTTGGTAACGTCCTGTTAGAAGAAGACAACCTCGGAGTGAAATAAAAGTATCCCTTCCCCAAGAACGCCACATCCCTTCGGCAAAATGTGGTAAACCTGCAGCTAAACTACAAAACATTGCTTCGATTTCTGGATTTTGAGAATCTTTATTAAATTGTATGACACGTCCAGGAAGACGACTATTTCCAATAAAACCGTAAAATTGAGTAGTAGCTACTGCTAGATTTTTCGCAAGTGATGAGCTACTTCTTATCCAAGGTGCAAATCGTAATGTAATCTAAAAAAATTAAAATGAAGAAAAAGTACTAGTTATTTGAGTATTTGGTAAATAAAGTGACTAAATGCATCAACTTTGTTGACATTTCTATTTTAGTTTCTCAGCAGTATAAAATAGAAGGGATAATAGATTGTAAATGTTTGTATTAATCAATAGAAAATTTAGGAAAACAAAATTGGATAAAAAACAGGATAAAAGCTATGCATTTAATGTGGTATGTGACATTGGTTAAGCGGAAAACAACAATCAGAATTTCGATTTTATGAAAATATGTGAACTGTTTTATTAAGACATATTTTAGATCGTAGAATTCGATTTAAGTGTACTTCACCTCACAACGATAAAATAAGATGAAGGAAAATATTAAGCAATCGATCCAACAAAGTCAACTCTTTTCTATCTGCAACTTAAAGGAGTTTGAAATAATTTCTTTAAGGTAATTAGTTGAAATGAATGGCTAAAATGTAAGTGAATATGATCTTTATGTAGGTAAGGGCACGGTACAGTGACGAGCTTTAGCAATTCTTGAAACAATCCCGACAAATTTTAGCGCGTTGTAAACAAAAAAAATAGTTATTGTAGATGAGTATATATATATATATATATATATATATATATATATATATATATATATATATATATAATACAATTAATGAAATCTTCAACAGGATTGCCAACTTTAAATCGGAAAACCAACGACATAATAATTCTTTTATATGGCTATAGAATTTCCTTCTTTAAAGTCGTTATAAGGAGACAAAGTCCCCATACTGTTCCTGATTAGGATTTAGGCTTAGAATTGATTTGTAAGTTATACACAATCTATATAAAAAGACTTGAGAATTTGATAAGCTTAACACTAACATTTCTACTCTATGATGATAAAACATTTTTAAACACTCTAAGCACCAGATAAAGATATTTCTGATGTTCGTTTTACGTGATATACAATGAAAGTCATCCTTTTTTAAATTCCACACAAATATTTAAAGTTTCGACGATTTTGATTGACTCTTCGCGATATAAAATTTTCAACGTTTATGTCCAATTTCATTAATGAAGCGAATGGGAGGATATTTTCATTGGCTGTTTTGTGGTCATTTTTAACTTCGTATAACTCAGTATCTATCATATAGATAATATAGAATATGTCAGTTGAATGTCGTATACACAGTCATTTCGACAGGTTATGTTAGTCAGACATATCAGATCAAGGTCAAAAAAGTGAAAGATGCAGACGGGTGAACGTCATTGACCAAGAATTAATTTAATTTATCGAGGGAAACAGATATACACTACAAGTTTAAAATCTAACTTGGTTTTCTTAGGGGTACATCTATATTAATGAATGGGTTTGTGCATATATCGATTTGGGTTAGTCAGTAAAAGTTTATTATTCATTCTTAGTTTCCACGCTCAAGTAGCCGGTTAGAGTTGTATATAGGAAATATGTACATGAGTATTCGAGTCAGATGACCTCCAGACACAAAGTTTACCCAGTAGACGAGTTGAAATTGGGGAATCGATTCCGCCCACATGAGTCAATCTAGTTATTTTACTAGTAAGTCAGTTGTACTGTTGTATTAAAAGATTAATTCATTTAAAGCAAGACGTTGAGAAGGCATTCAATTGTAGTATGAATAGACAATTTGAAAAAGTATGAGACTTCAGTTTTGAACAAGGAAGTAATTCCCTAAGTAAATATTAACTCTTCATAACCCGAGGACTAATAGTAATTCAGAAATACCCTAATTTATCCATCCCAAAACAAAAGGTGGTGTATGTGTTGAACACTATTGACTGATAAATAGTCAGAGAATAATAATACGGATCAAATTGTAACTTCTGGTTAAATTATGGTGGTTTAAACATCCAATAACCACTAATTTTTCAGTCATATTCAACCATGACTAAAATATTCGGTTATTTAACTTCAACAAGGTAATCTCGAAAACACTATTTAGCCTTACATAATTTGAAAGTAACAATCTTCTTATAAATCAATGATAATATAACAATCAAAATACGATGACCAAAACGGCAAAAAATAAACCATAAGAAACTGAAACAGAACTTACCTCAAGCTTAATAAATTCTGTTAATGTAACAGTCAATGCTTCAAAGTATGCAGGAACTAAATATCTTGGAATGTTTGACAGAGGTTTATACATAATTTTTAAAATATCACTCATTTGAATAATTGCTTTAGTGATAAGTTTATTAGAATTATGTGGTAGTTTTGCCAAACGTTCAGTTAAATAATGGGCTAACCAATCACCTTGACGAAGATGTGAACAAATTGGATGACCTAAATCGTTTCGATCACGAATTCCTTGTAATACATTTGAAATGTTCTTTTTTTTAAAAGGCGAAAAAGATGGGTGACGAAAATAGAAAAAAATGTAACATTACATTTGGATGACATGTAGAATGTATATTTACATCTTTGCAACAAAATACTTTAAAAGAAAACTATATGTAAAAGATTTCAGCGATTTGGGTTAAAAATAACTCCAACGTTTAGCTCGACAGACTGATTTGACCTCTTTCAGAGAAATAGTAAAAAAATCAAAATATCGAGTATAAATAAGCTTCAGAATACAACTATGTAAAGAAAGATTGTCCAATCATGTTAAAACCATGAATATGGAATTTTTACTGTGAATATGCTATTTGGTGTGAAATTTGTATGTAGGTCTGATGTGAAAAATCCCTAGGCCATGGTAAAGATAAATTAGTCTGTCTTATAGCTACACATTAAACTTGTCCGAGCATTCACGGAATGAGAATAAATCAATACACTTATTTTTTAGATTACATTATAGACTGTCCGTAAAAAACAATTGAAAACCCATCAATGGGGTTAAAAGATGGATGTGTGGTATCACGAATCACTGGAAGTAACATACATAAACTGCTGGAAACCGATTGTGTGATCTAAGCGCTATCTGAGGACTTAAGGTTCATGGGTTTAATCTTCGGTGTTGTGAATGTACACTGCCGAGGAGTCCTATAGTATGACGAAACAGCCGTCCAATACTTCCTGGTTTTCAAAATTTAATTAACTAAGTCAGTCGGTAATGTAAAATATAAAATTCAACTAACTACACAATTCTGTTCTCCTAAAAATAAATGTATTTTTATTACTGTGCTAAGCAAATCGGTTATTCAAGGTATGTCCAAATATGGTAACTGACTGAAACAAATGAATCGAGTTCGCTTTTGTCCACAAAACATTAGATGAATAAAGAGTACTGGATCATAATAAATTAGTGACCAATAATCGCCATGGTACAGCCACTTGTGGTTTATATCATACATGAAGATTGATTTCCCAATGTACCCACAATTTCGGCTGTCACTTATTAGCCATAAGAACAAAAGCCTTTTCGAACGATTTTTATCGCGTCGATTATACATCATGTTCACACTGAGTTGAAATTCTTGAGTTTCCAACTTTGTCAATGCAGCCAAGTCAACTGACAATAATAGAATAGTCTAAATAATTAATTGTTGTAAGCTGTAACTCATTTGTAACCCAGATAAAAAAAGTTAGAGTTTCTTTGCTTTGGAAATTTATCCCTTTCTGATTAGCTGGGTATGTGATTACTGGTCGAAACATAATTTAATCACCAAGTGATGTGTCTGAAACATAAGAAGCATTTACCTTAAAGTTTTTTACAGACTAATATTATTTTTATAAGCACAAACAAGCTGAATAAAAATGGAAAAAGTCCTTTATTTTTAGATAATTATCTCCTTAAAAAACCAATGATTATCGTAGTCACTTGGGTTTGTAGAGGTTATCATCATCAAATGTCTACGACCTAAACCATAGAAACGTGATAAAACTGGATGTGCCCTGGAACTACTCCACCTCTCATATAATCTGACTGATTAATGAATTTAAGCGTACTTTATTCACTTCATTTAATCATTTGTTTTATAGGGCTAGTTTTTCCACATATTAATACTAATCAGTCATAATCGAAAATATGTAGTGTTACAAATCACATTTTATACTGTCTAGTTTCGAACTCTTGTCTCAGTTGTTTAGCTTAACTTATAGTTTACAGCTGTTAACCAAATGAAATTTATTATGTTAGCAACTTGACTGTATATGACTTTGTAACTTAGTTGTTTGCATTGGTATTTTTGTTCACATGTATACTGTGTATTATTGATTGCTAGTTTGTATTTTAATTTGCGTTCAACATTTTGTGCTGATTATTTGTGCATTGACATAATGTAAAATACACTGAACTTTATTAATTAATTGTTGTTAGTGTCTACCATCAAGTGGTCCAGTGTAAAGGTAAGTTCAGTTATTTTCCCGATCGATTTGAAACTTTCATCATAGAAATGACTATAAGCATCCGTAACTTTAGGTCAATCATTTAAATGGTACAATAATATTCAATTTTCGATTATCTCATCATGATCATCAGTTTATTTTTTTTAAAAATTTTCAAAGCAGAAAACGGCTCCATGTAAGTGGAATAAGATTTAGTTAAAAAGAAGGCCATGATAAGATACTGCATCAATCAGCTTAAGAAAATGAGGTTGCTGATAACACATCACAGTGTGAGTCAGCTTCAGGAAGGTGTTCCAAAAGAAGTAAAAACTCTTTTAAAAAGATATAAGCGCGTTGACCACGTGAAGTATCTCCTTAAATATCGATTGGAGTACAAATTTTGAAAGCTCTTCACTAAGGTTCAATTGACTGACGTTCATATGATTATTGAGTGTTTATATTAGCATCCCAATCAGTCTACGGTCTACTTGTATAATCGCTACTATTATTTGCCTTGCCGCAACGATCTTTGTATGTGAATTTAGTGAAGGTAGTCACTAGTCTGGTGGATGAAAAAGGGACAGATGAAGGCATTATGTATATATCATATCACTCTGCTTATTTGAAACTTAAATAACAGCAGTAACAACAGTTATTATAATAACAAACATGTTTGACTGCTATATTATTCTACTACTATTATATGAGCCTGGTACCCATCATGGAACAAAGACCACCGACTATGGATTTTCGAATAACTGTATCCTGGGCGTTCCTTTTCTGTTGATTTCAATTGATAATCATGTCCAGATCTGATTCACGGAGCTGTGTTCTTTGGTCTGAATCTTACCCTTGTGAACTGAAGATTCCAAGTTAGGGCTCGTTCTGTGATATATAGTATGTACTATCTATCGCCAGTGTCTTATCTTAATTTCCTCTTCAATTGGTAGTTCATTTGTCCTCTACCTGAGGTGGTTATGGCTTATAATGTTTTGCCAATGGATGTGGTAATTCTTGTGTCGAAAGCTGTTAAAAATGCATATAATGTTATTAGTTTGTATGCGACAGCTGAGCGCCGTGATCTCCATGTCGAAATGATGCAGCTGAGTTAAAGATATCCACCATGTCCCGTGCTTCTTGTAAAGTGTAGAGGTCTTCGTAATTCAGCCGTCAGCTAGCAGAAAGAGGAAATGTGACAATAGGTAACCTTATCTGATACCAGTCTCTACTTGGAATTCACCTGCCTATGAGTTGGCCTCCATGCACTTCTTTGCAGTGTAGTCTACTGTATTGATTTTGTATGATAATGACATTCTTTCTGGGTACTCCATAGTATCGAAGACGGTTCTATAAGGTCCTTATATCCATGCTGTCAAATGCTTCCTCGTAGTCAAGTAAGCTGATGTATAGTGGCTAGTTCCATTCAACTGACTGCTCAACAATTATCCATAGTGCCATGGTTTGGTCTGTACACGACCGATTCCTTCGGAATCCAGCTTCTTCATTTCGAATTCGGGCGTCAACTAAATCTTTCATTCGGTTTAAAAATACACTGTTGATAAGGTTGCGTGACTCTCAACCACAACTATCTCCTTGCTTGCTTCCCAGAATCATGGACAGGTTGTTTACGGAGATCCATCGTGTTTCTTGAGGCATAGCACTCCTGACATTTTGAAGTTATTGCTTTGTTAATTCCTTTCTAGTTGTCCTCTACAGTAGATTCCTTTGTTTTTTGATAGATCACGTAAGGCTTGTAACTTGTTGCCGAGATCTATCTTGGACTGAATGAGCTTGTTATAATCTGGTTCGGTAAAAACTCATGTAGTTTTGTGTATGAGTTTATGGGAGAAAATGCTGTCTTCTATGACTTTTTTAAAGATTTACCAGCTACTCACCATTCTCATTTATTGATCCCACTTTATGTCACCTCATAATGCAGTCATACTCGATATTGTCCATCCAACCTAGACGTTTAGGATCACTATGAGGATATTCAGATCCTTTTCTGACTGTTTATCTATGTCGAACTGCAGCCTCTTATAAAAGTGATATTTATCATCTTCGCTGTCATTGATAGGTGTATATCACTGGATGACATTCATCGTAATATTTTCCTTCTTTGCTTTGAAGGATGCTCTAATTATTCGAAAGGCATGAGTTTTTCAGACTATAAGTGCTTTTCTTGATTCTTCGGACAGCATTAATGAAACTCCTTGTGCATGTTGGGAGGTTATTATTCATGACCGGATTAAAACAACAGGTTGTCTATAGGAGCATCGGCTTTATGGTTTTCGGAGACTCAAGATTTTTACCATGACGCGTCGAAACTCTTATACATGAATACTTCTCAACCTCCATAAGTGAGCGTAACAGGTTCCCTCTGAATATCGTTTCCGCAGCAGGGTTACACTAACCATATGTCCAACCATCTTCCTTTACCCGAGATTAGAATAGGGACTAACTTTACAGAGTCTTCAAGTGGAATTGCTGTATTATTCACTTCCACATTAAATAAGAAATATAGAATAAAGCCACGTAATTTGTAAAAGATTACTTTTTAGGCATGATTCAAGTTACTTATTGTCAGGTTATTTCTAAAAATCGTTAAAACATCTGGTATCCCCACCGGTTATTTCATCATCTAATGTAGACTGAAGATAAAGTAGAATCTGAATGAATTAATAAGAAAAATGGAACAAAAAAGGTGAGAGACACAAATTATTAAAATTCATATAGTTCTATCTGTAAATTTGAAATTATATAAGTTTAAAACGTTAATAATTCATTATGTTATGCTTGTTTCAAAAAGAAGCGAGGAATGTAGCAAAAATCCAGTCGTAAAAAAGGTATGTCATTATATCATACTTCCCACCGCTTCCTTTACCATCTCATCTGCTCCTGCTACCCATCAATGCACACGATCATTATGTAGGCTTCTTATCAGTCTATGTTTAAGCTGCTAAGTCTACTCATCGTGTTGGAAGCCAGACGAGATGAGCTTCGGTGTATCTATCAGTTCAGTATACACTGCTGAAACTCATTGGTGTTTCTCAACATTTC